TCATTCCAGCTNCTGCACAGCAGAAACTTTACTAGGGTCTGGTTTGACACCATCTTGTGTGATGAGATGACCAAGAAATAAAACCTCTGTCTGGAAAAGTTCACATTTACTCGGTTTCAGCTTCAGTCCAGCTGTCCCTAGACAGTGCAAGACTTCATCGAGATGTCCTATATGCTCGGAAAACGTTGATGACAGGATGATGATATTGTCTAGATATTGTCTAGATTTTTGATCAGTTTGACGATTCCATTCAGTCGTCGGTCGAGGTTGTCGTGGAACTGTCGAAACTGCTTTGTGGTGACAAACTCACTGCCAGTCTCAGGAGCTGCTTGCACAGTGTTCAAACGATGTGACTCTCCAGAGCTCGTAGTGTCACAGAGACTCAGGAAATTTTCGACTGCCGTTGTAGCATCCTTGAGGGACTTGGGATTCGTCATGCCGACGGAAACTGCCATCTGCTGATCAGAGAAGCCTTTCAGAAAATGGTGAAGAGCAATGTTCTACCTTGTAACTGGATCTGTTGTCAGGTAGCCACGGAGGACGAGACGGCGAACGTCGGCAACAAACTCCATCAGCTTCTCCTTGGGCTGGTGTTTCCTAGCTTCAAGCTGAGCTATGTAGTAGTTAATGAAAAGTCATGCTAAACTTCGATGATGTGTATAAGTTCATATCCCACCGCTTGCTGCCAGTGTAACATCTCTTTTGGGGTAGGGAGTCGTTATCATAAAGACTGAGACTCATTGGACTGACTTATACACACAATACTGTTTTATTCCGAAGAATTATTTACATCTTCTCCATATTTACAATGAGCAACTGCTACTAGTAAGGCTGGATATTATTCAAGTACTGCTCGTCCAAATCTGAGCCATTTATTCGGGAGTGAAAGGAAGGTGGTTCATATCGGAGCTATACACTCACGAACGGTCAGGGAGTTGTTTCTCCAAAGCTGCCCGCTCGGGAATGATCGGTGCTGACTGCTGGAGCTGGTCACTTTATATAGACTTTTGGGTCTGCGTCTTAGCCAATGGGACTACTGGATGGGGGCAGTTATGAATAATTCATACCTATAAAAGTCTACGGAAGAAAAGTCTATGGGGATTTGTACACACTTGGTCTTTGCTGACTTCGTTTCTGTAGTAGTTTGGGAGTGGGAGGGTGAAAGGCTGTTCGTGGGTGAGCTACAGGGGACTTGGTCAATGAGGGAAAGGAAAGGGTGAGCCTCTCTCGGTACATTGGTTTGTGTACTACACTTAGTGTCTGGATGGCTAGGAAATCTACACGTACATGTAATTCTTACGGGGTAAAACTGAGGGTGAGCGGAAGTAATTGACCTCGCTGTGCCGTAACTGGACACAGGCTTTTGGTGTGTGGTTTGGCGGGACACTTACGGTATGAGTTGGGGGTCTGTGTGGGTCGAATGTACAGGTTATGTGTGCGACTGAAAGTAGGATCGACTTCGAGGAAGATTTGGGAGAAAATGACTAAGTTGGAAGTGTGCTTCGGAGTTGCGGTTCAAGGGCATGTTGCAGCATAGAGCAACAGGATCACACGTGGAATGCAATCCGTACAGTCTACGTGTAGATGGTCATTGCGCGCTGGCTGTGGGGTAAGTGGTGTGTGTAGTAGCGTGTGCACTATAATCTACTTGCATAAAGGGAAACAGTTTGTGGGAGCGTAACAGTATCATAAGAAATGTTTAGTGTCGAGCTGAGGGTGTAAAAAGGGCAAGGGATTCTGAACACAAGAATGACCATGAATGGGTGATGTCAAAAGTTGCACTGGCTGAGCTTGTCTTGTTCATGGAGGAAACTCGACTTGAAAATGTACTGCTCCCATCTTCTTCTGATCTTGCAAATCTGTACTCGTCAAGACAGGAACACTTTGGAATAATCCTTGAATAGCGAGTGAACTCCACAAGGCTGAAGGAACGTCCATTAGCTCAGCTGCCTTGTCTGAGAGCTCATGCCAAAGGACGAGATGTGCTTCTGGTTTTTGAGGAAGACATTGGAGAGGCATTAGGAAAAGCCTGTGAGCGTGATAGTGACAGTGATGCCCTCCACCTTGCTCGTGTTGCTCAGATTGTCAGGCAGCAGATGTTCGTGAATAGAGAGCAGTTTACTGGAACATTTGCTGGCCCAAACATCAACAGCGAAAGTACATGTAGGAAATTGCCAACCCTAAAGTAGTGACGACCGTGCAGAAAGCTAAGAAGATCGGCCAGGAGCAGTTTGAGAAATTCACTGTAGAATGTCTTATAGACAGAACCAAACCAATTGACAATAATATCAATCAAAACAGACTCCCACTGTTCAGCAGTGTAAAACCTAGTGGTTCCAAAGGAAAACAGCAGATTGCATCACTGAAGAATGATGTTGAGCTCTTCTCGTGTCTGTACATTGGCTGCCAAACACAGGACGGAAATATAGATGAATTCTTCCGTCATGGAAACCAAGCATGCCCCCCGGCCCTATCTGAGAATGGCAAACTTCACTTGGGTAACGAGTGATATGCTTGTCTGCTTGGAGGCCTTGCTGAGTCCCCGTCAAAGGCCCCTCTGGTGACAGCTATTGTCCTAGATGGGGCTGTAATAACACAGATTCTACAATCAGGTATTGCAGAGACATTTGAAGATTACACACATCAAGTGTTCATCCCATACATTGTTCGGCAACTTCAACATGCTTCATGTCTAGACCTCATGTGGGACAGCTACAGAAACGATAGCCTGAAAGCCTCAACCAGGGAGAAGCGGGGAAAAAGTGTCGTGTTGTCAGCTCTGTGACTCCCTGGTAACTGGCAAAGCTTTCTGCGTATGGACTTCAACAAAATGGAGCTCTTCAATTTTCTATCAAAGACAGCTGCAGAAACCTTTGCAGAAGAAGGAAAGGAACTTGTGGTAACTGTTGATGAACAGGTGCTAACTGTGCCACAGCAGGGAGATTTTGGCTCATTTGCACCTTGCAACCACAAGGAGGCAGACACCCGCATGATGGTTCATGTGGCCCGTGCGACACAACATGGCCGTCACCAAATACAAAGACGAACAGTGGACAGTGATGTGGTGCTTGCAGTGGTGGTGGCTCAGAAGCTCTCATCAGAACTCCAACTATGGGTTACTTTTGGAACAGGAAAACACTTCCGCTACATGTACCTACCAGCCCACGGGATAGCAGCCTCCCTTGGTCCAGAGAAGCATGTGCCTTGCCAATCTTCCACACCTTCACTGGGTGTGATACAGGGAACAGGAAAACACTTCCGCTACATGTACCTCCCAGCCCACGGAATAGCAGCCTCCCTGGGTCCAGAGAAGCATGTGCCTTGCCAATCTTCCACGCCTTCACTGGGTGCGATACAGTGTCCGCCTTCGTGGGGCATGGAAAGAAATCAGCACAGGCTACATGGGCTTCATTGCTGGAGTTCACCAATACCATGTTGACTCTGGCAAATGCGCCAACAGCCATTGAAGAGGAGACAATGCAGTCAATTGAGCAGTTTGTCATTCTTCTGTATGACCACACAAGCAAATGTACAGACATAAACAAAGCAAGGAAGAAACTCTTCATGAAAAAAAGTTCAGCACAGCGAGTTCCACCAACCCGTGCTGCATTGAAACATGTCAAATGAACCGTATTCCAGGGTGGCCTCATCTGGATCCAAGTACTGATGACACGGCTCGTTCTACTACCTCCAACCAGCTGGGGATGGACTCAGAGGGATGGACCCTATGACATGTATGAACCACTTTGGACCACTCTGCCTGAAGCAGCATCAGTCTGCTATGAACTGGTATCCTGTGGCTGCCAGAAAGGATTCAAAAACATTGTAATTGCAAAAACGCTGCACTGCAGTGTACTAACCTGAGTTCCTGTGAGGGAGAATGCTGTTGAGCTCAACACATCGGTCAAATCCTCTACGATCAGAAGTATGTAAGAAGTTTGTTATCAAGTTGCAAAATAGGTCCTAGGACAAAGTCTATAAGAACCTGTTGGAACACGCTGCTTTTAAATGCAGTTCACCTGTCAGAGCATAATGAGTATTGAAACACTTACCTGGATTTGTACAAAAAAGTGACAACATGTATATTGCTCCCATACCTAGCAAACCTTCATAATCCCATTCTACATGCTCTTACAGAATATGTAGGACAATCAAAGAAGTTGAATTTCCCAGAAGCAAAAGCAGACTAATTGCTTGTTTAGTCCACTGTCTTCTTCAGTAACAACATACATGTACATTATAAATGTATTTTGGATGCACATTTCTTCTTTTGACTGTCCCAAGTGCAATTTATAGGGTAAAGAAACACACCCAACATATGTAAAATCATGGATACTATTTTTTAAACCGCCACTTATTTCTTAATGACTGTTTTGCACGCAAAATGTGTGAGCGTACTGCCTCCTGTTGAGATCTGTACAGCTGAGAGACACATACATGTATAGCATAGGAGCAAATCCCAAATGGCGGCCATATTGAAACAATGGCTACCGCACACAACATGGATAAAATCGTGAGTACTATTTTTTCAACCTCCACATAATTCTCCGTGATCGTTTTGCATAAAAAATGTTCAATCCTACCGCTTCCAGGCGAGATTTGTACGGCTGAGAGACACATACAGCATACATACATGTACATGTACCGGTAGGAGCAAATCCAAAATGGTGGCCATTTTGAAAATTGGCTGCCACGCACCATTGGGGTAAAATCGTGAATGCCTCAGTATCTTAATTCTGAAAGAATACCTAAAGCTACATGTACATGTATATGTCTGCCAAATTCGGAGCTTTTATGACAGAACGAACAATACTTTTCCTATGCCGCTGTATTATAATGTTCTGACTTCATGTATTTCTGAGGTTTGAGCTTAACAATTCGCATATTTACTGTATGAGTATTGGTGCGCTACTGTAATTATTACTGATGTCATACAAACTAAAACCTCTCCAGTTTGTTGAAGCAATTATGATTACACATATGATACCTGCCTTTATCAGGAACTCCACCAACATCACCGTCATCAGTAGAAGAGTTCATGACAACAAAAGAAGCACTGATACCCCCCGAGGAAGATATTGAGCTTCCCTACTCTTTGCCGTCAGAGGCCTCCAGTAAACAGGGGGAGGGCAGTAGCAGTGATGTAAACAAGAGAGGGAAAAAGAGAGAGACCTGGGTAGGTACAGTGTATGGATTTGTTACCTTCATGTAGTTCGTTGAATTCCTTCATTTTTGTGGATATTTTTATTGCTGATCTGCTTAACTGTTTTGAAACAGAGGGCATTTACATGACCTGGACAACGGATGGCTGACAGCATTGGTGGGCATTTACTTGTGTGTTAACTCACCAATTCCCGATTTGTTTGATACATGTACATGTGCATGTGTGCACATACAGAATCTGAGAAGTCTGTGGAGGCAGACCACGTGTTGAACTTAAGCTTGACTGCTGTGCATAGCTTGTTTTAGCAAATGTTGCTCCGTGGCAGCACCCCTGAGTGTTGTCAAATTTGATGTTGGGGTAAGAAATACAGTGAGGCAGGAGGCCTAGTGGTGGAGGTTTGTTGCCAAAGAACATTAGGATCAGATGTTTGAATCCAGTTGCTGGTTACATGTTGTGACACCATGGGCAAGTCACTTTACTCCTACTTGCCTCTCTCCACCCAGGACTTAACCGGCTACTGTGAGAGCAAAGAGGGTTATTGTGTTTTTATTTGCCCTTTTGGGCCTGCAATGGCAGCGTCAAGCTGTATACTGCCCAGGGAGCTGAGATGGTTAAAGTTTTATCAATTTTTCAGATGAGCATCTGAATAAATTGGTGATGTTATTGTTTGTCAGTGAGTGTAGTGTTGGCTGTATATCAAGAGTTGGCTGCTACGTGTATTTTTACATATGTATGTAGGCAAAAGCTGTAATATACACCTTTTGATAGTCACCGTACATGTACAGTGTATACATATGCATGTGTATTATAGTGAAACTGTGTTATTTTAAGGAACTTGAAGTATTACAAGTACATGTACATTGTAATGATAATTTCTGAAAAATTCGTCAAGCAAGGCAAGTCATTGGCTATTAAAGTAGGGAGATAGAATCTTGTAAAAAGATACATACATGATCACTTTCATTGATATTGTAGGCTTTTTTGTTAGATACAATTGTAGTGGGAAGGACTCTCTTTTTTCCCCTAGAAGTCAGCAACTGCCATGCCACCATCCAGAAACATGGACGACAAGATCAAGTTGTTGGCCGACATGTTTCCAGATGCATGCAAGATGAGAGTGAAGCGATGTTTATCGGACGTGAGTGGTGACGTGGAGCAGGCTGTGCAGGTCTTGCTTCACCAGGAGAGACCCAAGATGAGGGGTGGATCTCGTACAACTGCCAATAAAATTGTGAGTTCAGTTGCTCATGTGCTTTCAAAGCAATTCAAATGCAGTTCATGTAAAGTATTATGTACTCAACAGGTGTCAAAGTGCTCGCCATGTACATGTATACTGTATTACTTCTGTTCATAGGCCATGATTCACAATGCTAAACGTGCCAAACAATGAATGAAATTGATGTTGACATTTCTGAATTCAGTTTATTGCATTTTGAATACATAGGATGTACATGTACATGTATATAATCCTGATTTTGAGGTTTTTGTCATTTTGGCTTATGATTGGTTATTAACCCCTTTGTGTTGGGACGCTGGTAGAGCCGCAAAAATTGAGATCCTCAGCCCGCTTTTCAGCTATTATTCTCGGCCCATGCTTGAGCGAACACAGTGAAAGAAGGCAGACCCTGGCTCTTGGATAGATAGTGATTGGCTTTTGTTTGTTGCCCCGAAATGGAAANGGCAACGGGAATGTGGAAGCGTGAGTAGAGCTGCATGCCACCGAACAGTCAGCATTTTCACTGTGTAATTCAAAATGTGCAGAGCACGCAGGGCCACAAACCGAGAATTAGTGGATTTGCAGGTGGCCTTCGTGACCAAGCGAGGCTGGGATTCTTGGAGTCGGCTTTCGGGAAGAAATTCCCATCGTCAAGGGGTTAATGGACAAAGGCATTTTTAGAAAACATGTAAAAATTGATTTGAAAGATGTTTCCTGCCTTGCTGCAGCTAACTTTTCAAATCTGCCAAATGCCACGAAAACTGACCCATATATATACATGTATTTGTTCAGTGTTCGTTCTCATAATTTTCACTACTTTGAGACCCTTTCCCCCCAGAAAGTGTTACATGTACATGTACAGTATTTGTCTCCCTCAGAGCATGTGCAGTGGTCAGGTTTAAGTTCAACACAGTCGGTCTCCGCAGACGTTCCTATGTTCTGTGTGAACAAAATGAATTTGGATTCTTCATGAAAATTTCTATTTACATGTAAACACATCCACCACTTAAGGTGCAGAAAACGGTGGGCATTTTAACCCTAACCCTCTAGGGACCATTGAAATCCTACATAACCTTGTTCGGTTCAGCATGGTTAGGGTTAATGTACCAGTGGCCCCTTTGAATAGAGGTGGCTGTCATGCTGACTATGCTTGCCTGATCAATTTTGCAAAATAGCTAAAGATGAAACACAACTGAATGAATGCAAGCAACCGTTAACAAAAATAACACACACCGAGATTCAGGATGTATTCAAATAACATTTTCTTGCATGTTTTACTCTATTGGTTAACTCAAGAAGTTGGTTTTTATGATATGACCAATATATGCGGGAGACATCTCAACAGGATACTTTTGAGATGCTTAGTAGGGCCACCGAGCATCTCAAAAGTCTTCCGTTGGTGATGGCAGTTGATCTTTGAACTGGCAGGGCAAGCAAGAATCCATGACTTCAGACTGTGAAGAGACCATCCAGCAGCTAAGGGAGATGTTCCCCAGCTCCACTGAGCTACAGGCCAGGCAGTGTCTGTCCATCGCCAAAGGGGACCTGGAGCAAGCCTCACAGGTCTTGCTCAACCTACAGGAGTCTGGCAAACTCGAGGACCAAAGCAGTATAACCCCAGTGAGTTACAACTTCACAGTGTGAGAAGTGTGAAAGGATTACCTTTACTGTACATGTTTGTGGTTCTGTTGATAATGCTGCAATTTTGGAATAAAAACAAAATAAAGCAGACAAAAAGGAAAAAAGCTGCATGGCAATAATGGAGGCATTAATCAGGAAGACTAGGTTTTGTATAGACATGCCTTGAACAAAACAGGACAAAATGAAACAATCGGACGGGACAAACAACGAACAATACAAGATCAACATTGGGGATCAACATATTCACCTGTATGACGTGTAACCTGCTACTGTGCTTTGCCGGCCGTTGGGGATGCCTACAATAAACCTTTTGCAAGTTAAATTTGAAAAAAATCTAATACACAGGGTTCTTTAAGTTCAAGTGAACATACCAATTTGAATTCTCACTAAAGACACTTGCTATACCTCGTGAATCCAGGTGTTTGCTTAGTAATACGTAATAGATGCCTTGGACCAATACACTTTTTTATGGATGTGCACGGCACAAAGGAACCAGTCCATTCCAGAGATGATGGCTACTTGGCAAAAGCTTGCCCTAAATCACATGGTACAGCAACAGTGTCTTTAGTCTGGGGAATTCAAATTGTTTTGTTTACAGTGTATGTGCAATCAGATAACTCACTGTATCTGATAGTACTCAAGTTTAACTCGCAAAAGGCTTATTTCAATTGATGTGAGTAAAACTATATTGATTGTGGCATCCCATGTAGTCACAAAAATGGGACTTGCAACATTTGGTTGTGAAAGTGGGGACTGTATATATAGATCAAGAATATGCATGATTGATTGATGAAGTGGCACAGTATGAACTTCTCAGGATGCAGTGCGATTCTTCCTAATTAGCCTTCTATTGTTCCTGTTTCATTCACTTTATTTTTCTACTGTTGCAGGTGGTAGTCCAGAAGTCATGTGTGAGAAATGAGACAAATTTAAAGGAATCTGTGTTGGAGAAATATGGATACGTTGACACAGACGAGGATAGCAAGAATCATAGGCCCATGGAACCCAAAAAGGTTTGGACATTCAGTTTCCTTCTGAAATTCCTACCAAGCTCCATATGCTGGATGGTTGTCTATTCATCCACAGGTTCTTCTGAAGAGAGTTACTTGTTCTCAACCTTTTTATATTCTGTAGAGTTTCCAGCAATAGAGACTCCCAACTCTGCAATTTCGATTTTTCCCACAGTTTCGCTCCAAAAACCCTTTCAGGGTTTCTTATTTTTAAGAGTTTCTAATTTCCTAAAACTTTCTGTTTTTGGTAAAAGAACACACCTGAAATAAAAAAAAACTTTTGGGGGCTTTTCTCAGCCTAGACACGTTTTACTTCATACATATGCACACTGCAATTCCTAGCTTGATAATCAGGCATAGCAGACTATCACCATTTTGTTACAACAGGTGCTGTACCTTGTCTGTGGAAAATTGAAGAAATTTCCTTTGAATTACACATCTCGCCCCTTATTACATTCCAGGAGAAAAAGAAGATGGTGCGCTACATTAACAGCCAGACGGTGACAACAAAAGGAGAGAGGTTCATTGAGACCAAAAAACCAGAATCGGACGAGATGAAGAAGACGTACTGCAACTTAAAACCGGCAAGGAAGTATCATTTCCACTGAAAAATATTCAATTTAATGTATTCTAGAAACGAAATTTTTGTGATACTTTAGAGAAAAGTGCAGAGCAAAGTTAAGCGCTGCTTCAGAAACGTTCATTTTCTGTCATCAGTTATATCTCTGCACTTAATAGACAGCCATTTGCAAAAGTTTAAGACCACCTTGAATTTTATGGGTATTTCTGTCACTGGGCATGTAGTCAAATGTAGTCAAATAGCTGTTCAACCAAATACTAGAGTTACACATTAAAAATAAGCATAAGTTGTCATAACTGATTAAAGTTTGGTTTTTCTTCAGGTTAATGCATTTTGTATGTTTGGTCCTAAACCTTTGCAAATGACTATATTTGAAAGTGACCAGTGACCCTGTGCAATCTTGTACAAGAAGTACAAGTGATTTTTTGCAGTTTTTCGTGTGTTTTCTCCCAGAAACTTGTCTGAAATCATTACGCGTGCAGTAGTGAGGCCCCTACTGTGTTTTTCGCTGAGATGGAACGGATTGTAAAAATTATGTATTAAGATTAATATCAGTAATATGTTCACATGCAAGACGTTTGTGGTTGCGTCAGAGTTGAATTCAATCGTAAACCCAAGACTGTTTCATCAACGGAAGAAATGCAGAGATTGTCAAACGACAGCGCTCACGTTAATCTTTCACGTGGAGGTGTCACAGACAGTCCCGACCAACGCAAACGACTTCTGATTCAATCTGTGAATACAATGTTAGAGCTGGTTCGACAGTACCTGTGTTCTGTTTGCATATGTACATGTACTATGTACATGCGGTAACGACATTTCTGGTTGATAGCTAAACAGGTTGCTGTCGGAGAAACGCCCACACAGAAAATGTGAAAACCGTCAGCATGGCTGATTCCTAAACGACTCTTGGGCCGGACACCAAGCCACTTCTAAAGACTTGGTTTGTTGGCTTTTATGGTTGTCCTTTTAATAAATTTGGAGGTCTGTAGGCAAAGAGACTAAAAATTCGTTTTCTCAAATGAAGTCAAAGGACTAGTCTTGCCATTACAGAAAGCATCTCAGACCTCGCTGAAAAAGGTCGCCCAAGCCACACCCTCTGCACCCACTGCATGTCCCCCGTTAAAGGCTGCATAGAACTAAGACTCATCCTAGTTTTTTTATTGTGAATTTAGTGTACAATAGAGTTTCACGTTTACACGCAACCTCGCTATTTTCTCTATGTAAAAATGGCAGAGACTACCAAAACCCGACACAGGACTGGAAGTTCTATCAATAGATCAAGCCACGTTCCAGGCAAATCCCCCAGTTCCTCCAAGCCTGATTGGCCCTCCAAGCATGTCATTTCGACCGTGTTGACTGAGTCTACCCTGCTGTGTAACGAGTTGAAATTCCCAGGCCGAGCCTGCAAACGGCACCTAACAGGGCTTCTCACCGGCAGGTTCCGCACACCTTCGGTAGCATACGTGAGCACATGTCCGCAGCGGAGTCCAACGTCCAGGTGTGTGTGGAACAGTGGGGCCCGGCACTCGATGCAGCACAGTCATGTGAACGTCCGGCCACCCCCGCTCGGTCACAGAGGCCCGGGGCACCACCACCGCCTCAAGTCGGCTGCACATTTTCAGCCGCATGGACGACAATCTTTTTATTGCAGCAGTGTTGTAGTCGAGACCTTTATGTCCGAGACCAAGACCAAGGTATTCGAGACCGAGACCAAGACCGAGACCAGCTCTTTCAAGACCGAGACCAGAACTTCGAGACCAAGATGACCTAGACCTTGCACAACATATACAATATATAGGCCTACATGTAGTTCATTAATGGTAAACGTGGTGGGCAATTGGCATTAAACAGCAAAATTAAGTGCAAATTTTACATGTAAAGCACACAACATATTCAATATTCCATGAAAGAGTTTTATTTGAACTCTGGGAAAAAACAGCACACAGTTATTTTGACCATGAAAGCATGGACTGCCGATGCTATAGAATTTTGTATAGAGTATACGGCATAATCGTACATTAAACATGTACATGTACAGAGTTTTTGTGTTCCATATGTACATGCACAGCAAAATTAATGTGGGCGGGCCATATTCAAATGTTTAAACCGGCAAAACGTGGGGTTTGAGTTGCTCGGACTATGCCAAAAGGTGTGTGTGAGTTCAGTTTATGAGTTATACTCTGTAATGATCAATGGACAGGTTAGAAGGGTCACACAACATAGTGGGCAGTTCTCTATTAAAAGTACATGTACATGTATATAAAAATCATGATTTTACCAATCCAAGTTTCCTCACTGATGTGTAAACATTCTACCGTAAGAATACTTTCCTGACACTTTGTTTGGAACAAGAGTGAAGAAAAACAAAAGACGACCACAATTTAAGTTTCTAACAAAGAATTGTACTATCCAGGTAGTACCTGACTCACCAACTGTGTAAAAGGGTCATTAAGATGAATGCACTCTCCTCTATTTGAAGCATGACACATTTTGATTACACTTAAGAAACATGAGGATTTCCAGCATTTTAGCTGAAATTCGGGCTCTGTGGGGGCGCATTATGATTCCACCTGTGCTAAACACACGCTCTACTAGAGCACTTGAAGCTGGTACTGACAAAAGCGACAGTGCGAGGTTGCTCAGTGAGGGATACTTGCTGTGATGCTGCTGCCAAAATTTAAGAGGACTGTCTTCAATGTCAGTTTCCTGGACTTGTTGCAAGTACCGGAGCAGTTGCATTCTACATGTTGTAGGATCGCCACTCTTGTTCCTGTTGCGCAGTTTCTTGTACTTTGCCAAGAGTCGTGGAATTTTGGCAGGTACTATACATTCGTCTTCACTGCTTGCTGCCGACGGGTACGTGATTTTGCCGCGGCTGAGCGTGAATTGTTGACGCACATTGTCTGCATTTCTGTCATGGTCTCGGCAGGTCTCGGGTGGGAGACCTGAGACCTCGGCATCCGAGACCAAGACCGAGACCAGTCCTCCCGAGACCAACCCTCTCGAGACCGAGACTCTTGTAGGCCGAGACCAAGACCGAGACCTCAAAAAAAGGTCTCGAGACGGTCTCGAGACCTCCAACACTGTATTGCAGAGACAGGTTAGACGCAGCAGCTTCAACTTCGTTCTCATCCAAGTGCTTGGTCTTACTCTTCAAACGACTCTAGCCCGTCAGCACTACGAGCATCCAGATTTTTCAGCATTGTTTCCCAAGAACTACATCGTTTTCTCGTTTTCTCCAGCAGATGCCTTCACCCTTTGCAAATAGCCCACGATGTAACTGTCTCTCCGAATCGTGGAACCATTTCTCGGCATCGTTCTGCCGCATGCCATACTATGCTACCCGTCCCAGCAGTAGGCCTACCCCCGCACAGGACTTCAGCGCTGTGTTCGCACCCGTTCACGGCCTCGCTCCCACTCGTTGGATCATGGTCGAATCGACATCCGTTCCCCCCGTTGACACTTAGGGGTAGGTGGTTGGAGCCCTTTCTCCTGTCATTTATATGCTGATCGAGATGGCCTCCTTTTTCCTTAGCTGGCTAATCTATCACTTACAGTGATGACAGAAGTACATGTAGGTAAATTTCAATCATGCCAGCTTCTTTTTCGCACTCTTTTTGGTGAGTTCCACCAATGGAACTGCTAGTGTAGCATAGTGTGGTACAAATTTCCTGTAGTACCCTGATAGGCCCAGAAATGCTCTGACCTGTGTTTTGGTCACAGGCCTGGGAAAATTTACCAATCCTATCTTATTTGTCAGTGGCTGTATGACACCACCACCAATGATATGACCCAAAGATACAACCTTTGGATAAGCCATTTTACATTTGAGTGGTTTAGCTGTTAAGCCTGCTTCTGCTAATCTGCACAACACTTCTCTTAAATGGAACATATGCTCCTCCCATGTGCGACTGTAAACACTGATGTCATCGATGTATGCCTTGGCATATCCTTGGCAACCAGCAAGAACGGTATCCATCAATCTTTGAAATGTACTGCTACTGTTCTGCATACCAAAGGGCAACACATTGTAACAAAATTGAACGAAAGGTGTCACAAAGGATGATTTCTCTTTCGTTTTTTCATCCAATGGAACCTGATAGAAGGCCTTTGTCAAGTCGATAGTGGATATGAATTTTGCACCCGCTACATCCTACAGAATTTCATCAATTCTAGGCATCTCATACACTGTACGTGTCAAAATCCGTAACTTTGTTCAGCGACCTGAAATCTGTGACAACTCGAATCTGCTTATCAGTTTTTCGTGGAGCAATAATTGGTGATGCGTAAGAACTAGAAATTGGTTCAATTATTCCCATATCTAGCATACTCTGAAGTTCATTTTGAACTTTATCTTTGAGTGCTTACGGAGTATGATACACTCTGTGTCTTCTCGGTTGTGGCCCTTGTGGTTTGATTTCACTTTTTACTAAATATGTTCTCCCTGGAACATCTGAGAATACACTACTGTACGACTTAAGTAAAGATAACACTTCTTCTCTTTGGGCAGGTGTCAATGAGTCAGCAATAGACACATCTTGCCATGTCTGGGTTTGATAGTAACTCAACCCTATATCCATACTTCCGTCTATGTCATCCTTTTGCTCAATTACATCATTGTTGTCATGAACAGAGAAAGAGTCAATCTCAGCAATAATACGGTGGCATTCTGCCATTCGTTTCTCATGATCTTTATCATACCACAGCTTCATCACGGATGATTCGTTCTGACTTGCGTTTGTTAGGCAGTTTGACTTCGTAATTTGTCTCATTAACTCTCCTCAAAATCACGAATGGACCCTGCCATTTGCTCTCAAGCTTGGATTTTCCCATCGGTAGGAACAATAGCGCTTTATCCCTTGGTTCAAATATCCTTGGGGAAGCATTTTTGTCTAGTATTCCTTCATTTTACTCCGACTTTTTTTACATTTTCTGTAGCTTTAGCCATCAACTTGTTCATCTTGTGCTTGATATCTATCATGGACTGAACTACATGTACATGTATGTCTAGGGATGGGTCATCATCTGTTGTCCACTGCTCTGTAATCAAAGTCAGTGGACCCCTCACTTTTCTCCCATATAACAACTCAAATGGGGAGTACCCAGTAGCCTTACTAGGTACTTCTCTGTATGCAAACAGAAATGGGGGATGTATTCATCCCATCTTTTCATTTGTTTGTCATCTAGGGTTTTGATCATGTTCTTTAACGTGCCATGAAAGCGTTCAGTCAAACTATTGGTTTGTGGATGGTATGGTGTTGTAGGGATTTGTTGTATCCCTAGACTCTTGCACATATTTTTCATGATCTGAGACATGAAGTTTGTACCTTGGTCATGCACAATTTCCTTTGGCAATCCCACTCTTGAAAATACTTGGATCAGGGCATTTGCTACCGTGTCAGCCCGAATATTTGGTAAAGGGATAGCCTCGGGATATAATGTCGCATAATCAGAAATTGTCAACAGGTTACTATTCCTTTTTATGGATCTTGGGAAAGGACCTACAATGTCAATTCCTATCCTCTTGAATAGAGTCTGAATGATGGCAGATTGCACAGTGGGTGTTTACGAGGACTTTTTGTCTTATCAGTGAATTGGCAAACTTGACAGCTGCGACAGTAGTCGGCAACTTGTTTGAATATACCTGGCCAGTAAAAATGTGAGAGTACCCTATCTTTGGTTTTGGATACCCCCAAATGGCCTGCTAGAATAGCATCATGTGCCAGCTGAAGTACTTCTAGCCTACACTTTTGCGGAAGCACTATCTGATGCACAATATCACTTGGATAAGATTTCCTCTCCCATTTGCGCATGATCAATCCATCCCTATCATAAAAGCACACCCCATGTTTTTCCACCTCACTCATAGGAACTAGCCTGTCCCTAATGCCTTGCAAACTCTCATCACTGTGTTGCAAGTTGATTAAGGCTGTTCTGCCAAACTGGAGAGTTTCTTAAGGTTTCGTCATCTGTGTACTCAACTGTTGATGTGTTTATATTGCCATTCAAGGTTTTACTCTTACTATTTGCACTTGAAGACGATCTATGCTTACCCAGTTTATCTACCTGTACATCACCAACATCATTACCATCTGTACTGTGTACTTCACCAGCGATCTGTTGTACTTCAATATCACTGGACATTAATTCATATTCTCCTGCCACTTAATCTTCTAACTCTGTCTGAGCCTGTGCTCTGGTCAAAACACGCATTTCTTTAGCTAGGATTTCTCCACAACTTTCATCGAGATCATGTCCTAACAAGACATCTCTCTCCAGCCCGCCAAGAGCTGCAACTACTACTTTTCCTGAAACTATGGAACATTTCAGGTCTACTAAGGCTAAAGGTGCAGTCACTTGTCCTCCTACTCCACGGAGTGTGACATGCCTACCTGGCATATAACACTTGGCTGGTACTAACGTCGCCTTAACTGCTGTTTGTGTGCAAGCCAAATCTCGCAATATTCGGACCTGCTCGCCTTCCACAGTACCGTCAAGCATACACTTTTGAATTTGAATTTCCACGGGGTCATTTACCGCTGTTCGAACCCCTGGAACTACACGTACTTCATATCTGTATTCGCCCCTTTAGTCAGTGACTTGTTTTGGCGAAACTTAAGGTTTTCTGTTCTGGATGCTGTTTCCTCTACTTGCGTCAGACTACTACTACTACCCTGATTGGCTTGCGACCTTAAAGGGCAAAAGGGACTTATATGTCCATATTCATGACAGTGATAGCACTGCCTCTCACTAAGTGGAATATACTTGGATCCCGCACAACCATTACTCCCTTGCATATAACCTCTTTTGTTTTTGTGGGTACTGGGTCCATCAGTATCAGTACCACCAACTTTTATGCCATCTACTGAAGTCATTCCTGATTGCTCACTGGAATTTTACTTCTTACTACTTCCAAAGTCACTCTTGTGACCAGAATAGTGATTTCTAGATCGCCACATACTTTTTGACAAATCGGCTTTATGCGAGTGTTCTGAACCCCCCCTGTTAGCTACATAGGCATCTGCCATGCCTGATAATTCCTTGCAAGTTTTAGGGTTTTTATCCCTAAGATAGAGTCTAAGGTCACAAGGCAGTTTGTTGAGTGCCTGTTCCATGACCATTAAATCAATAATATCTAATGGGTTGGAACCATCGATCTCAGCGAACTTCAACCAATTTGTGAATTGATGGGAAAGTTCATTGACCCAGTCGCGAACAGTTTCCATGCCCTATCATGCACGCTGACGGAAATTTGTGCGATATGTTTTGGCTTTGATCTCATATCTATCCAAAATAGCCTTCTTAAGGACATGATAATCAACTGCTTCATCTGCAGGTAATGCCGCATATGCCTCTCTAGCTTTCCCTGTTAATTCGGGTACCAACCTCGCCGACCACTGTGCATCAGGCCAGCCATTCATGTGGGCAAGGTTCTCAAATGCCTTGAGATAAACATCAATGTCGTCAGAGTCTCTCAATTTTGGGACCCTAATCTTGTCAGAGCTACAATGTCCCTGGAACCCAGGTGTGCCAATGTTTGGTGGCATTTGAGCTTGTGCATGTGCCAATTCCATTTGCTTCGTTTGAATACTGAGACTGTATATGAAGATATTCCAGCCACATTTCTGGTGGGAGACCATCTGGAATACCAGCTGATGTAATTCCACTCAATACAATCTGATCATTTTCAACTGGGCTGTACTACTTGGCCTTGAACTCGCCCCAGGTTGTTGTTGATCACTGGGAATTTCACTTTGATTAGTTTCCATGGTATGTGCCTTGGTGGACGAACGAAGCTGGGGCATGCTGAAGATCATGAACTGTACTACTAAGATTTATGAAACAACTTTGATAGAAGCAACTACACTTAACTTCTTACGCAATGTTAGATTACTTACACATGTCACATGTATCTCAAAATTTCAAGACTTGTTCTCATATATTCAATACATCATACTCACCATACCCAAATACATCAGAACTCAGTGGTCAACTTCAGCATGCTCGGCTGCCATCCGTCCTCCTCAGCACTCCATCTTTAGATTCTGCGGGATCACAATTTTTGTCATCTCTGCTGGCAGACATGCCTTCTTCGTCTCCGTCTTCAACCACAGCTCCCCCGTCAGACGGCTCACTCCCTGGCTTGGCGTCCACTAATGGAACAACTCTGGCATCATCAGTAGCATCCGTGCTGTACGCTTCACCATCACCATCTCAACCATCACAGACATCAGGCTGAGTACGGTGCTCAAAGTTTATAGCAGAAGACTGCAAAAGACTCGTTCACCACACAGTGCTATGAATGTGTCCATTTCTCAGTCTTGTCTTAGCTCAGACAACCGGTTGAGCATTTCTTCAGTGGTGGCTGTGATTATCTGACTGACTCTTTACCGCTGCCACAATGTAATGTAGTTTCATCTTCTTTACGACGAAACCGTTGTACTTCTGACGAACTCACACGATCAAGCATTTCTGCTAATCTACATGTATACTTATTTATTTCTACAGTAGTGCTAGCAGATGTGATACATAGCAAGTCAAAATCTCGAAGACCCTCTTCCCCACTCTCTCCTCCTTTTTATAACCCATCTTATTCCCATCCAATTTCTAAGAAAATATCTGTGCACTTCCAGAAGGTTAGTGTGGTCAGTCCAGGAGGTTAGTGTGGTCAGCCCCGACCACTTCCAGTCCCTTAGATTTCATTTTTACGACCTTCTCATGAGCCCAGTTTGCTCCTTAATTGATCACGACCTTCCCCTACATACTTGTGGTTCCTTACTCAGAATTGCTTCATGACAGTCCGATACACTACATGTACATGCATGTACAGTCTCAAGACTACTTCAGGTTTGGAAGATTATTTAATGTTCTCCAGCTGCAATAATTCTAATTCCACAGAAGCTGTTGTCATTAGTCACCTTTGCCCTTTAGAGCTTCAGTCTATATGGACTCACATACTCAAATTTAACTGGCAGCACTGTGTTTTCCTACTCTGTGGTGTCACATTTTGGTTTGATTTGGACCCTCCGGTTCAAGGCTTCGGGCAGGGTTCCTGTGTTCATTCGGTGACTTGACATGTGGAGACCATTCGTAGTATATTTGGTTGCACCTTTTTCAGTGTGTTCCATGCACAATCTTTAGGTGCCTTCCATACAATTGTT